GTGTCTGTGTGGTATGTCTTGATCTGCTCAAAGTGTCGTTTCGATCTTCGCACTAGCGTGTTGTGCAGGCGCACCAGTCTCAGTCCGTCTTGGAGTGTAGCAAGGAAGGGTGTCGGGAGTTCGGTGTCAGTAGGGGCTGTCCACTCTGGAAGGGCTTCGGCGCTCGTCTCGTCAAACGATCGGAGAAAGAGAACTTCTCGCTCTCGCTCCTTGCCCGTCCAGTCGCCATCGCGCCACGACCATGTTTCACGTGCCTCTTGTTCTTCGCGTTCCTTCTCTTCTTCCGTATCTAGAAGCGCGCTGATATCGTCAACCCACTGCTTGAGTTGAGTTACTTCGTATGGCTGAACACCGTTTCCAAAGTTACGAATAGCCAGGCGCTTCAGTACCTCGAGTGTATCATACAGCTCCTTGCGAATCTCACGTTCCGACTTGATAGCATAAAGTCGCTGTGGCTCTTCGTGTGCAGTGTAGTAGTTTTTGGCAGCCCTGATGGCCAGCGTCGTGACATCCAGCAAGTTTAAGCCCTGAACTTCGTGCCACCCCGACGCATCAGCACCACCGTTCTTTGCTGTCTTTCCGTCTGGCTGAATGTCAGAGAAGCCCTTCTCGAGCTCGTGCAGATGTTTCATGGATTCGGCGAGCGATTCGCGTAGTTCGCGACGAAGTACTGTCATGTCAGGTGGCGGGGGTACGTAGATGGGGTTGTTCTTGTATGTGCTAACGGTAGGCGGGAGCATCATGGGCTCAGGGTCCTCCCAGGTCATGGAGGGCGTCTCGTCAAGCGGCGACTCGACGAAGCCCTCGCCCATGTGATGCTCGCTCATTGGTGATCCAGGCGATAATATACCAAACTCTGCATCGAGCCCCGGCGAGAGTGGCTCGTTGCCGCTCGCTGTTCGCGATCCGGGCTTGCGACCTTTTGCTATTCGTCCAGTCGCGGTGTCAAGCAGACCAGTTCTGGCAAAGTAGTATTGCAGATGGGCAATAGTGCCGAGGTTCATGACGCTCTCTCTGCTCTTTGCAGACTCGGAGAACTCGGTGCCCTCAGGCCTCATGTATCCACGCCGCCTGCCGCCATCGGACAACCGGGAGCCTGCTGAGCGTCCAGAAACTGACGAGACCGACGAAGCTGTCGAGACGGAGCGGTCGAGGGGCGGGATGGCGCCGATGGCAAGGGAGGGCGTAGCCCATGGGTCGGGCGACGTGGAGCGTTGGGGCGGCGAGGTGGATGTGGTGGTGTCCATTGTGGTTGACAGGGGGGGAAGGTGCAAAGCCGTGGCAGTCGTCAGACTCCTTATCAGCAGAGAGATTCGGTGCTTTGTACGAATCCTCGGCATTTACGGAGCGTGAGGGCGGTTTTCAAGGACTCGCAGTTGTTTGCGGAGCCACCTGGGCGAAGTGCGGTTGTTGCTATGTGACTCTGGGGCGAAAGGGGGGGCGTTTGATTAGAGGTTTCATCGACTGGGGAGCGACGCGAGATTGTATCCGAAAACAACGCGAGACTAGCGTCACCACCGCCCGGCGCTCCCTCGCGGCGACTAATTTCCGGCAGCCGTGAACACATTGCGGTTGCGAGCAACACGGCGCTGACTGTACATACTTTACTTTGGACATGTGGGCAAAAAAAGAAATTCGCCCGTTGACCCGCGCTGGCCCCTTGCGGCGGCTGAGGCTGTCCTCCTAGCTCCCTCTCTGCGTGCGACTGCATCCATCTTCCCAGCAAAAGCACCTCTCACGCTGGCCCCGCACCCGTCCACCATCCGCGACGTCGCAGGGGTAACCTCCCCCAACGGTACTCTGGTACCAGCAGCAGCAGTAGCAGTCGCAGTAGCGTCTAGGTTTCGCCAGTTGCGATGACGTCGCCCTGCTGCACCGCGCCTGGCCCATAGTATCACCGACGAGCCAGTGGCTTGACTGGCCCTCGTGTGTCTTGTCTTGTCTTGTCTTGCTGCATAGCTGTACTCTTCTCCCTGCCTATAGCATCGAAATTCGTTGCACTGTACTTGAAGCGCTGCCGTGCCCCTCCGCCCCCCCATCCAAGCAAACGCATTAAACCCACAATGTCGGCCAAGCGAGTGCGTCACGTCCGTCGCTGTCATGCCAAGTGGCTGCTGTCGTGGCAGAAGCTAATCACTTTGCACAGATCCAGTACAAGGTCGAGGGCCGTGTACAGGGCGTCAATTTCAGGTCCTTCACCCAGAAGACCGCCCGCAGTCTTGGTGTGACGGGCTTCGTGACCAATGCATCAGACGGAAGCGTATGCACTCACAATGCTATTACCATGGCATGGCGCGCCACACCACACCTCACACGCACTAACCCCTTCCAGGTCCAGGGCGAAGCTCAGGCCACCGACGACAAGCTCAACGACTTCGTCCACCACCTGCACAAGGGTCCACCAGCCTCATCCGTCTCCAAAGTCGACCACTCTGACATTGCCACAAAGCCCGATGAGAGTGGCTTCAGCGTCCGCTATTAGAGGGGCTTACTTGGAACTTATCCAGAGAAGTTTGGTAAATGATAACGTATGCATAGTAGTTAGTAATGTATTGATTACCTAAGCATACTTTACCCAAAAGCTACCAGATTCTTGCAGGAACATCTTATCACAGATCCCATGGAAACTGTCCGAACCAAGTACACCATTGTTGGACGAAGAAATATGCACAGTAGCCAAGTTGTTGAGTCGTTTTATCTGCTCGCCGAAAAAACCGAGTCGGATGCTCATCGCCACTGTCCAATCCGGGACGCAAAGCGCAAAGCGACGGCTCTAGATCGTTGGTGATACACTCAATCTGGTCCTTTGAGAGGAAGTGTTCAAGGACCATACAGCCACCTTCGTTTAAGATGAAAACAACATCTTCAGCGCATCCAGACGTTAGCTGGCATCGTCACTATCTTCAGTCATTGCTATTGCACAAGGCGGCACCGTGACGCTGCTTTACGCTTCTCTTGTTGTAATAGTGTCCTACATCTGCGACACAGCTGCCTTGTTCTCCCGGTTCTCTCCATGGCAGCTGGAATATTCCTCATCACCTCCAACATCGTCTTTGCTCTGGTGATTCAATTCAACCAATCCTACGTTTCTCACCCCTAGCACTCGTTCTTGCCTTGTGAAGTCTTCAACATCATCGCAACACTTTACATCTACCTTGAAAAAAATGTCCAAGATTTATAATTTGGGATGTGCATTACTTTCCATCTTCCCTTCTGTTCAACTTTTCAAGGTCATTTACTATTTTCGGCCTCTACTACAGGTTTGCAGTCACCCCCCTCGACTCATCCTATGTCCTTCATTCTAATGAACCCTTTTTTCTTCTCCTATCCTTCAACTCATTCTTCGGTGTGGCAATTCAGGTACTCTAATTCTCCTTCGCCATTCCAACAGCCTTACTCGTTTGGCGAAAGCGATCCCCATCCTTCTTACCCCACGACAAGGCATTCCGCCTCCCTCATCTAGTCGGTTATCTCTGCTATGTGGTTGGGATATGCTGGAATATCATCGTCTATGTCTTCTTCATGTTTCCAGCTGCGAGTGTCAATGCAGTTATTGGGTGGGCCAATTTGTCTAGCTACGCTGCTAGCAAACATGCCGTTCTTGGGTTGTGCCGGAGCGCTGCCAAGGAATATCCCGGCATCAGAACAAATGCCGTCTCTCCTGGTATGTTGTCGCTCTGCAAAATGCTAAATGTGGTTGCATTCCTCCTCAGCGATGAGGCTAGCTTCGTTACTGGGGGCCAACTACCAAGTTGACGAGGGATGGATATGTTTGACGGATGGAAACTAGTTTTTGCAAATATTTCACAGGCAGCTGTGATACCTGCGTGCCTGATTCACCTGATGTCATCTGTATTCCCACCTGAGCTTGTTGCAGACAATGTGGCTATCTCTCTGTGCTTCGTAAGTATCACACATCCGACCACGAAGCTGCGGGTTCGCGTATTTTTAACCTAAAACAGAAAGACCGGGATTGCGCCACAGTGTGGATGAGCTGCAACATGCATTATCTCGCGTACTCGGCGTAGAAGGATGCGCTTACTCTTCCAATCCTTCTAGAAGTTGTATTCGTGTCTTTTAGATATTCTTCGTTCTGTTAAGCTTCTACTTGTTCAACTGGGATGCACCTGGCTGTTCATGGTTTGCTATTATCATTGTTGTTTGAGTAGCCTTTGATATACAGTATACTGGTAGCGAGTATTTGAAATGCGCAAGCGCGGGCAGCCTTTCACTGGCTTTGGAGTTCCAATCGGATGGCGTTTGGCTCATCGGTGAATAGATGCAGTCATCGTTGTTGCCGGGTTTTTAGGGTGCAGGTGGGTCTTCCTTTGTGGATAGCGAGTCCCCGAAAGCCCGACGAACATCTCCCGGGATGAGTTGCAAAGCATTCGATGCGACCAACACGGTCAACTTGGACTTTAAAACATCTAGAAAACCGGGATATCAGCTCTCCATTATATTGCAATACCATCGGTACTAAATATAAGAGATCTACAACTTCAGGTGTCGGTTTTGCAGGGGTATTTGACCAATGTCTGCAATCGGAAGTTGGAGGCTTGGCTGCCTTGTTCCGGTTTCTTCTCGTTAGCTGAGTATTGAATTGCTCAGCCGCTTCGAACTCGTCTCTGCACGCGACCTATGCGTCTGTTCTCGACAGGTCTGCTTACTGTCTCGGCATCTTAGACAATGCCTATTTGCTCGTAGGCGCTGCCGTGGAATGGAGATGCCGTAATGTTGCTACGGCGTCCCATGGCCATTCCTGTTTCACCCTTGGTGACTAGGCGTCATCAGTGGCTGTCTACGGAAAGCACGAGTACTAATCGAAGATTTTTTGGTTATCGGCGTCTCGTTTACGTTTGTATCAATGACTATTAAAGGACTCATGAGTGCCTCAGTAGTCTCTCATACCACACATCAGTATTCACTACTACACCACCTGGACGACATCCTCAGTTCTCCACTCACCTCTTTTGACACACACACACTCTTCGCCGTATATGATGTCCACTAGAGCAGCAATATACGGATCAGCGGCCTCAAAACGGGGCACCGCTCACCTTATCAAGTCCTTCCAGAGCTACAATGCCGGACTTCGACCCACCTTCATCGTGACCCAACACTTCAAGACTTCAAACGCTAGACGAAGCTTTTCTTCTTCGCCCAGTGGTGAAGCCAAGATCAAAGAGTTTTTTGAGAAGCATCCGACAGAGAAAGTTCGCAAAACGCAGGCAGCATGGCCACATCCAGGTACATACATTGAGCTTGTCTGACTCATCAGCCACTGACAACTCCCAGTATACACAGAAGAGCAGATGAACCAAGTCATCGTTGCTCACCGTGAAGCCAAGACCATGTCCGATAAAGTTGCTTTGATCGCCGTCAAGGTCCTACGCTGGGGTCTCGATAGGGTGACAGGATACAAGCACCCAAAGCCTGTGGATGTGGATGCCAAAGACCCAGTGGCAGCAAGAAAGCAGTTCGCCATGACGGAAGAGAAGTATTTGATTCGGAATGTCTTCTTAGAGAGCGTTGCAGGCGTTCCTGGCATGGTAGCCGGTATGCTACGCCACCTGCATTCTATGCGGAGGATGAAGCGAGACAATGGATGGTACGTATTATTGCGCAATAGGCATTGCACATTCACTAATGCACACTCTCCAGGATCGAGAGCCTACTAGAAGAAAGCTACAACGAGCGTATGCACCTGCTTGTGTTCCTGAAGATGCAACGCCCTGGACCCTTTATGCGCCTCATGGTACTTGGAGCACAAGGTGTATTTTGCAACGCCCTGTTCTTCGCCTACCTCCTAAGCCCTCGCACTGTCCACCGCTTCATTGGATACCTTGAAGAGGAGGCAGTCATCACATACACGCGTCAGATCAAAGACCTTGACGAAGGCCGTCTTCCCAAATGGGAGAAGATGGAAGCACCCGAGATTGCGGTTGATTACTGGCAGATGCCAGAGGGTCACCGCACAATGCGCGATCTGCTTCTCTACAGTACGTGTGTTTTTATCGACATGTATTGCACAGCACGCTAACACCACCCCAGTCCGCGCAGATGAAAGCAAGCATCGAGAAGTCAACCACACCTTTGGTAACCTCGACCAGAAGGAGGATCCCAACCCCTACGTTAGCGAGTATCGGAATCCGGAAGTGCCACACCCAACAAAGGACCTTGCGCATCAAAAGCCAACCGGCTGGGAACGACACGAGGTCATCTAGGATTCCGTTTATCTTGTTCCTCTTGTATTACGCTGGGTATTTGTACTTCCCCTGTCTTTCACCTACACTCCTTTCAAAATGCATCCTTGGCGTTGGTGGAATTTGGATGCTATTATAAGATCGATAACCCTATTGTGTTGGGAGGTGTTTTGACATACGAGAACCATGTATTATTAGATTTGTGGGCGTTCTGGAGATTATTGGAAAGTTTCTTGTGGGCTGACCGGATCCTCATATGGGCGTATGACGGCCAATGAACTTTAGGTACCGGCTTATGTACACACGGTTCGACACAACTGAAACCACTCTATTCTGTACACAGTCTCGGTGCCATGCGAATCTACTAGGCTAGACCAGAAACCTTTCGAGGCTGGTAAACTTTGAATAGGACCGTTCGGATCGACAGTACGCACCCCCGTCGAGTGAGTGGTCCTGGGACGACTAAGCCAGGGCTTGCGACTACACTACTTACATTGTACAGGGGATTGACCGCTCGGCGGAAAGTTACTTTCCCTGCTTAGCTGTCTCAACCTCGAACCTCAACATAAGAGACTTGCAACAATGCTGTTTACTGGAGTTGAGGCGGAGATCTCTGACACTTGAGTGTGCCCAAAAGAAATTCACGCAGAGTTACTCGAGCTGCAGAGCACACCACGAGGCCGCATATCTGGATTGGATTGGCGATGGGTATGATACGATCTTAGTAGCACTGCTATGTGTCTTCTCGATCGATCAGCCTCATACGAGATTCACAGTTAACATGCAATCCTTGGTGCGCCGAGACGTCTGCTGATCTCCGCATTCCCGCAGCCAATATTATGCAGACTTGAGAAGCACAACCAAAGCCTCTGGCGATACTCGCTTTTGCGAGTCAATGTATAATGGCTACGCTCTGGAGTCGGATCGTGCCCAGCCGCAAAAGATAACGTCACATAGTTTGCAGCTTAGTAGACATTCAACAGCCGACACATGCCACCACCTGTGATAAGATGTGCTGACGGCAGAGCATAACACGGCTTTCGAGGAGATGGTTGCAGTGGCTGGTCTATCACTTCCCCGTACGCCGGGGCGGGGCTAACCCCGCACTCTCTGGCACTAGCGTTCACGCCAAGCTACACTCCCCTCAGCATGAGGCACAGGAAGTCCTGCACCCCACATCCGCATTCTTCCACGAGAGAGAGAAGTGCATCCAAAAGAGCGTCAGCGCGGCATGACCCCCGCAGACCAACGTGCGCCCAACAGAACCTACCGCAGGCGCATGGGAGCCAAGAGCCGTCATCCGGGTAGGACGGGGAAGCTTCAGGGAGCTCCAGGGAGCTCCAAACGGTGCGATGCAGTCAGCTACCATACTACTTCCTCCGAATCAACTCCCCACGATCCCCAGCAACTTGAGTTCGTGTAGATCATTGTTGGTCCGCGCCTCGTCTCGACTGCTTCGTTGCACGTGTCACTCGCTGCTAGTCAAGGACGTGTACATTGTCTCCTCTCCGAGGACCTGATACGCTGGAATTGGAAGCCTGAACGCGCCATCTTCACCACCCAGCTCCGGCTCCGCACAGCTTACATCTGACAGTGGGCCTGCACACGCAACCGAGCATTTCTCCTTACTAGATGTGATACTTCTCCGCACCCAGTTTACCAACATACGACCACTGCAGCATTCCCCCCGTCCGCTTTTGGCCTGTACCCCAGTCCCGGGAAACAGCTTTATCCTAGCTCTTTGGACCAATCATCATCTCCAGACCCACCCCTGTATATCGTCGGTACAACAACCATCCTTCTGCGGATCCGCAACTTTGTAGTCTCGCCTTTGTTTGAATGCCTTGGACAGGGGCCCATCATGCATTCCAGCAGAAGTTAGAATCTGTATGCCACCCCTGTTTGAGTGGGGAAGCTGGGGTAATGGTACATGATCCCTCGTCACAATGCATGCACCGTGTTACTATCCGGATGGACGGCTATTGAAAGTGCATAGTGACACAGCCTAGAGAGTGGGTCCTCGATGAACGTGGAGATTCTGGACATGCGGGGTTTGACAGTTTAAAGGGACGTCGTTTCTGCCTTTGTGAGATCTCTATCATGCCCAGTTGACTTGCTCACTGCGGTCAACTTGTAGCAAGTGTATACTGTTTCAATTACAGTTTGATATTTACTTGAGCCATCAGAATGACGATTCCGGACGAGGTACGATGACCAAAGCACTAGCTTGCCGTAATGTCATCGCAATAACTGACAACTACAAGGTTGATATTATCGTTTGTGGTGGAGGATCATGCGGATGTGTCGTTGCTGGCCGGTTGGCCAATCTTGATCATAATCTCCAGGTCCTCTTGATTGAGGCTGGTGAAAATAATCTCAACAACCCATGGGTCTTCCGTCCGGGTATCTATCCCAGGAACATGAAGTTGGACAGCAAGACTGCTTCCTTCTACTACTCCAGACCTTCGGAATGGCTCGATGGACGCCGTGCTGTTGTACCCTGTGCGCACATCCTTGGAGGTGGATCCTCCATTAATTTCATGGTAAGATTATCATGATTAGACCAGATCAAGTGGTAGTATTAACACAATTCAGATGTACACTCGTGCCTCTGCTTCCGATTATGATGACTTCCAGGCCAAGGGCTGGACTACCAAGGAACTCCTTCCTCTCATGAAGAAGCATGAGACTTATCAGCGAGCCTGCAACAACCGCGACATTCACGGATTCGAGGGACCCATTAAGGTTTCTTTTGGTAACTACACATATCCTATCAAGGAAGACTTCCTTCGTGCCACCGAATCCCAGGGCATTCCCACCACCGATGATCTTCAAGATTTGGTCACCGGCCACGGTGCTGAGCACTGGCTCAAGTGGATCAACCGTGATACCGGACGTCGCTCTGACTCTGCTCACGGCTACATCCACAGCACCCGCGCCGTTCACCAGAACTTGCACTTGTTGACCAGCAACAAGGTTGAAAAGGTATGTAACTTCTCTCATGACGCTTTCATGCTGCTAATATTCTATCAAAGGTTATTCTCGAGGGTGACCGTGCTGTCGGCGTCAAGGTCGTTCCTACCAAGCCTGTTTCACCCGGACAGGTTAACTCCAGGACCATTCGCGCCCGCAAGCAGATTATTGTTTCCGGTGGTACCATGAGCTCACCACTCATCCTTCAGCGCTCCGGTATTGGTGACTCAGAGAAGCTCCGAAAGGCCGGCGTGAAGCCCCTGGTTGATCTTCCTGGTGTTGGTCTCAACTTCCAGGATCACTAGTAAGTCTACTTTCTGACGGCTGAAATGCAGTTTACCTGACATCATTATAGCCTGACTTTCGCGACATACCGCGCGAAGCCACATGTAGAGTCGTTTGACGACTTTGTTCGTGGTGACCCCAAGGTGCAAGAGCAAGTCTTCCAGCAATGGAACATCAACGGCACCGGACCACTCGCAACCAACGGCATTGAAGCTGGTGTGAAGATTCGACCAACTGAGGAAGAACTCAACATGATGGACAGCTGGCCATGCAAGGAGTTCCGCTCTGGCTGGGACTCTTACTTCAAGAACAAGCCCGACAAGCCAGTCATGCACTACTCGGTCATTGCTGGCTGGTTCGGTGACCACATGGTTATGCCACCAGGCAAGTTCTTCACGATGTTCCACTTCCTAGAATACCCCTTCTCTCGTGGATCTACGCACATTGTATCACCAAATCCATACGAGGCACCCGACTTCGACGCTGGCTTCATGAACGACAAGCGCGACATGGCCCCGATGGTCTGGGGATACATCAAGTCGCGTGAGACTGCTCGTCGCATGGAAGCCTACGCTGGAGAAGTCCAGTCCATGCACCCATTCTACGCCTATGACAGCCCTGCCCGCGCACGTGACATGGACCTCGCAACCACCAACGCATACGCCCTCCCCGGCAACCTCAGCGCTAACATCCAGCACGGATCCTGGACCCTCCCTGTGGAGAAGGGCCGCGCCCCCGAGCCTACCTTCTTGAACTCCAACCAGCAAGAAGTCTTTGAGGACCTACACTACACTAACGAGGACATCAAGCACGTTGAAGACTGGGTCAAGCGTACGTTCCCCTCCCACACCCACAATTAACACCTCAACACTCCCAAGTAACCAGTCTTTCATACTAACTATACTTACACAGGCCACGTCGAAACCACCTGGCACTCCCTCGGCACGTGCTCCATGGCCCCCAAGAACGGAAACTCAATCGTCAAGCACGGTGTCCTGGACGAGCGCCTCAACGTCCACGGCGTCAAGGGCCTCAAGGTCGCCGATCTCTCAATCTGCCCCGACAACGTCGGCTGCAACACGTACTCGACTGCGCTCCTCATCGGCGAGAAGTGCGCCGTGCTCACTGCTGAGGACCTGGGCTACAGCGGTAGCGCGCTCGACATGAAGGTGCCTAATTACCATGCCCCGAGGGAGATTGCTGGATTATCGCGCTTGTAATTGCGGATGCTGGGGCGCAAGGAGGGGGTGTATTTGTAGTGGATGCAATGGGCGGGTCAAGGTTGGACTGATGCGAAAAGAGGATAACTACAAATGCCATGTATATATGATTGAATGTGATCCTTTGTCTCTATCAATGTGCCACTTGTGCTTGTGAAGTTGTGGTGTTGAGCAGTGCTCTTGTGATGTACGTAAGCACCCTGGGGGGTCTAACGTCTCTCATTGCTTGCCGAGAAATCATGTATGCTAAGAAAAGTAAGAGATACTTTAGCTTTTAATAGTAGAAGAGGCTATAAGAAGGTGAGAGTAAAGAATGTAGGGTAATAAGTGATATTAATAGCAACGCTCCTAGGCATTGGGACAACTTACACCGCATATAACGATGTAGCCATGTGCTATCGCTACGATCCAATATTCCGAGCAGCTATGTCGACGGCTCGATGTTCAGCAAAAGCAAGACTAAGAGGCGGACGCGAGCACACTCGGTATACTTAAGGGGGCACCCGGTGAAAAAAAAACCCCCCCAAAGACTCACAGATAGCTTGTACTTTGTATCCATCACTACTAGCTACGATTTTGGTAGGGTGGTGGCCTGCGCTGAGTCTTGGGAATTTTGTCCACCGGATTGGAGGGGGAGAAGATTCTAGCTTTCTAGTAGTTGCGTTCGGGGTATTTCTTGTTCCATTGTTATTCAACTGCAGAGAATACAATAACAATGACATGGAGCTTGCCTCATCCACTGAAGCGATCCCGGCCCTGCTAGCCGGCCATAGCCGTTGATTGTCCGACACTGTATGCAGTGTACCGGAACAAAACCACATGGAGTAAGTTTGTCTTGCTCTGCGCTGTACCTTCCTCGCCCTAGGTCATCGGCATGGTAGCTCGTGTTCGATTCCCATCGCGTGCCTTGCTCCATGTTTAAAGTTGCTTGCCTCTGGACCTCTTGGTCCCACCCACCCACAAAACCATAATGTTAGCTAAGCCACTGACATAGCTGCTTATAATATCGAAACCATATAGACCAAATAATAAGCGTAGTTCCGGACGTAAAACATGCATATATAGGCAGAGGGGTTAGTTCAGGAGGAATACGATCCGAGTAAAACAAGTATCCAACCAAGAATAGAGCCAAAGTGAAAGTCACTGTGACCAAGTAAATACTGAAGGGGAATGTTTTGACAATCTGAACACCCCAGCGAGGATCCTGGATAGTCGAGACTGTGTGTGATCCGTCCCTGTGATGATGGATAATTACACGTCGTTTGGGAAGTTTCTCAGATTGCCTGCCTGTTGAAATAGGCTTAGGCACCAATGGGTTCCAAAAGTATCTTATGAAAAGACTACCACGAAAACACTCTGTCCTCGCAGAATCTTCGTAGTACCCCCCGGCTTGTAAGCTAGTTCTTGAAGCTGTGGATGAGCATTCGAGCACCTCAAATGCATTCGTTGACGAGAATTTTATTAAGTTGGCTTCTTCGGGCCACCGAAGCCAATCCAGGCTGTAGTAACAGGTAGCTTTTGAACAGTGTTCTCGGATGAGGTCGAAAGCTTCTGCGTCATTTGTGACAGAAGAGAAATCGATTTCCAGGACTTGAGTGTGATTGCCGCTAGTGATGCACAGATCGAGTATCATGAAAGACTCCGATTATAGCCAAGAAGCGTCGTAATCATCGAGTTTCGCAAGAACCGATTGCAGGCTTAGTCTCTCATCGGGCTCTTTGAGCAGTGTAGATATAATGATGTCCTCCAGAGTAACGAGAAACCCGACCATCTCTGGTTGCTTAGTACCTTCATGAGTTTGGCGTAATTGTTTCAAGAGAGGGGGCACCTCCTTGAAGCTATAGGAGAAACCAACTTGGTATAGCTTTTCTAGCTGGAAGATACCCTGTTCGTTCTCCTGGCACAGCTCCCACCGCCTCGAGCTCAGGAGGGCATGGATCCATGAAATGCTGCAACCGAGTGAGAAAATGTCGGAATGATAAGTACTCGATGCTTGAGCTTTTTGTTCGGGGGCGAGATATTGCTCTGTGCCATTGAAAGTGGTATTCTCGGCTTCCACGTATCCTTTGCTTATTCCTAGATCCGCAATTACGACACGGACTTTGGGGTCCAGAGAAGCACCATCCGACTCATCGACGAGAAGAATATTGTCTGGTTTCAAATCTTTGTGTCGAATCTTATTGTTATGTAAATGCTCGAGCCCGAGAACGCATTCCCGAACGATACTCGGCCAAGGGTCAAGACTGTGGGGTTTGTACCATGAGCAATGTCGGCTCATGCCATCGCGAGAATTTGCTATATCTTCAAGTAGTTTTTGTAGTGATGCTTGCGCCCATGGTTGGGTCACAAGAAATGTTCTGTCCGTCCACCCTTCTTGCTCAATCACGTATACCTCTTTCAGCTGGAGTGCGTTTGGGTGTTGACAAAGCCGAAGGTGTTCGATCTCTTTGTGCAGCTGACGCCGGGCTCTTCTGTCTCCGATATATATTTCTTTAATTGCGAAAGTCTCAACCTTGCGTCGAAGTCCGCGCGATGGTAACGTTCTAGTTGCTTTGAACACGGTAGCCTGGCCTCCACGTAAATCCGGTTGTTCTTCATCCCTTCTGTATGGCACGAGCGCTCGTGTTGCGTAGGACACTATAGTTTTCTGTACCACCTCTTCTACTATTTCATCATATCAACTCTCGAAGATGTTTATTTGTAGATGCACTTGACATACTGTTCTCTGGACCGTGTTCAGTCACTTTGGGGCCGTGACGGCGGAGGCTGGTTGCCATACTACTGCTCTTTGTTGTTCAAAATATAGTGTTGAAGAAGGTACGTTCCAGTTGTTGGAGGTTAAAGAAAAGTTTCGGTACAGCTATCGATAGAATGCTTAGCTTGAAGGTAGCAATAGTTTCCAGCTGGTGCTTGCCTCATTGATCAGTAGGCTCAGCCGCTCGAGGACTGATTATGTAAACAGGAGACGCGTTTGTGTAACCTGTTACTACTTAAGGAATTTTGGTCTGTGCTTTTGTGCCGCTTGCTCACGACTAATATGGCGTTTCTCGCTACGTAGTGAGGGACGTTACTACTGTGCAGCAAACGTTTTTTATTACTCCAAAAGTACATGAGCGTCTTCACAAGGGTATATTGTGCATCTCTCTCTTCCCTCATCCATTCCTAACCACATGACCCAAGGCCTATCTCCCAACCCCCCTTATACTCACTTCGCAAACCCCTTCGGCCCCGCCCACTCCCCCTTAACATGATACCTGCCATACACCCAGGGGAAGAACTCCTTCTTCAACCAATAAAACGCCTTCCTAGGCACTCCCTGATCCACTCCCAACACCCTCCCAAACGTCTCCTTAGGCACACCGCCGTACTTAAACTCCGCAAGCAGCACCTCCTTCTGCCCCGTAAGCAGCGGGCATGACGTGTACCCATCATACTCGGCTTCTAGCTGCTTCCCTTGCATGTGGTTGAGCAGGTTGGACACGAGGACGGGTGCTTCGGCGGTGATGGCTGCGACGGTTTTGCTGGTGGGGAGTGAGGAGGCGTCGCCGATGGACCAGACGTTGGGGTATTTGGTGTGCTGGGTTGTGCTGTCTGAGACGGCGACGTAGCCGGCTTCGTTTGCCAAGGGGCTGTTTTTGACAAAGGACCAGGGCACGTTTTTGGGGGCGACGTGCAGGAAGTCGAAATGGCGTTTGACGGGGTCTTGGTTGGGTACGTTGAAGGTGGCAGTGTTGCCGGAGATGGAGGTTAGGTCGTGTTGGAAGAGGCCTTGGACGCCGCGTTCTACACGGAGCTTTTCGAGGGTTTGGCTGTATCTGTCGGGGGGGTGTTAGCATCGAAACGGGCGTGTAAGGTCGAGGCTGGGAGCTTTTCTCGAAACGTACTTGTCTACACCGAACATTTTTGGCAAGCCAGTTGCAAAGGCAATGTTTATTGGAGATTCGCTGGAAGATGTAGGGTGGTAAAGCCCAGCGTTCTTCCAGTAATCCAACGCAAGCCACATGATCTTTTGGGGTGCACCCGCACACTTGACTACACCCGCTGGCTGGGTGAATACCGCATCACCCTTTTTGAACTTCTGGATATTGCTATATGCCTTGTCACAGTATGCATAATCGTAAATAGTGGAAACCATTGATTCCTTCTCTTCAAGCGCTTCTTTCAGACCGGGGACAGCTCCGTAATCCAGCGTGATTCCAGGTACGACGACAAGTTGCTCATATCCGATTCTATCCCCGGTACCGGTAGTGATGTAGTTTTGCTCTGGGTTTAGGCTTCCTACGGCTGTATTGTAGAACTTGAATTTGGGGTTGATCAAGTCCTTTAGTGGGCGACGGAGCTCTTCTTTCTTCTTCAAACCACCACCAACAAGGGTCCAGCCGGGTTGGTAGTGATGCCATTCCGCGGGATCAACAATGGCAATGTCGTCTTGGGCAAAATTTCCTTTTCGAAGCAGTTGGTGGGAGAGAGCAATGCCAGCTGAGCCACCGCCAATCACGACAATTTTGTGATTGCGGGTAGCTGTCTGCACTGGTGCGACTGTTGCAAGATTCCGAATGGAGGATGGTACCGCATGACTGGACTTGACAAGGGAGCGCGATGCCACTGATTTGGAAATACGAGTGCAGAACATGGTTGGCGTGTTACTCTAATCCTCTTCCCTGTGGGTCTTTCTGCTTGGTTAGAAAGGAAAAATGATCGTAATGACAGACGGGGGGGTGAGGTTCAGATCAAGTGGTCCCATTCAGCTGGACTGATTACAGACTTTGATGTGGGTCACCCATTGAGGCTAGGGAGATGGCCAATAAGGAGAGCCACTAGCGGATCACGACATCGGTCCTAAAATATCAGCTTACACAGAACATAGAGTACGTAAGAAGATATAGCAGTCAACGGAGTCACAAATGAGTGGAGAGAGTTATTTTTATCTTCACCAGAAAATACAATCGATGTCAGAAATATGAACTGAATCTAATTTGCACAGCAAATATCTAAATGCCTATCATACTTGATCGTAGAACCTTCGTTACGAATAACTAGAGATAGAAAGAAGCATATCAAGTCATTTCCACTCATTAGCATAATATTAGTTGATAGATCGTCCCACACTGAAATCGCCAGTTTTTCCTTTTTCCAAGTTGTTATACTTCGCTGCTCATCTACTCTCAGATGGAAAAGTTTGTCATGCCAGACGGAGTGTCCCACAACGCATCCCACGAAAAATCAAATGCGTTGGGATCTAAGATATCCGACAGCAGGAAAGAAGCGTCATCAAAGTTAGGCATCGTATGCATTTCAGTACCATTGCCATTTGCAACAACGCTCGCAGGCTCTGTTTCCGATGGTTGTGGTACCTCTCTTGCATTTAGCGAGGCAATCTTTGATACCGGATCAGCGCACCGTTCTAGACAGTAATTTGCAATGTCCCAGTCAAAGTTGTCCCGCGCATGCTGAATGTGCGCAATGACGCGTTCAAGGCGCGTGACAGACGTATTTCGTATCTCGGAATCCTGCGTCTCGACGGTGCAGCGAAGTGATACCGTGATGGCATGTACCAAGAGGTGAGTTGCGTATGGCAACCAAAAGTCCAGAAACTGGGTTTCACCCATAGCAAGTATGAAGTCGAGAACAGCTGAAGATGCAATGCGTAATTGGTCCATACGATTTCGGCCAATGCTGCCATCACCATCGAGAACTGCTGCGCGGAAGATTACACGGGCAAGAACGAGTCTGATTGAGAGAAATGAGAGCCAAAGCATAGCTGTTCCTGGGCGATTTGGTAGAGGAAGCCATTCCGGAAGTTGTGCTTCCAAGTCGTTCAATTCTAGTTTGAAGCGATCAATTTCCCGGGAAAGCTGTAACCGGTCTGGATTGATCTGATAAACAAAAGGCAAGATTTCCGCGAGTAATTCGGTCAGGCCACACAAATATATGAAACAAGTAGTAGCTTGCTTCTGCTGTGGGCTGGCCCTATTTCCGATGAGTGATGTGACAGTTGGCCGCGGAACGTCGTAGTAGCCTTTCGAAACGTAAGGGGGCGCGCCATATGCCACACTAGACCATTGGTCGGTGATGAGAACGCACCACCACAGCCGTATTCGGAGTGACTTTTCGTTTTCTGTAATTGACCATTTTGAAGGATCTCTATGAAGACCGAAAGTTTGTGCCAAGGATACAGTCCGTCCACAGAGAGTGATGTTGCCGATGATGGAAACCGAAGGACGGCCGACTTGGTCGAGCACCGCGGCCTGTATGGTTGACATTCCCGGGCTAAGGAAGTCTTCCAGGGTCGCGGAAATGGCCTTGTTCCAAACATAATATGAATTTGGTTTGGGATGCATCTTGAGTGTATCTGATTTGGCCCAATGTGCCGATGCAAGTGCATAGATGACGCACATGAGATTGTTTGGCACTTTGGCGTATTGGTCCGTTCGTAACGTTTCGCACATCTCGTCATCTAGAATGGGGAGATGATAGTGGATCTCGCTGAAGTAGAGTTCGACGACTTCCCGCCTGAAGGGTCCCATGATCTGTTCCACAATCTCCACTTGCTCTCTTCCACAGCCGCTGTTGGGTGGTAGACCAGTTCGGAACCTCGGCACCGTAAGGTACACGACCGGGTCTTTAGCATCGTGCAACAACGTCTGGTAGTTGGAGTGCTCAGTCTCACCGCCGGCTTTTCGATGTTGCGAAATATGGCGATTGAAGATATCGATGTCCTCCGCAAAATGTGGCGCAAGCATGATGGATGCCGAGGGATTATTAACATTTTTATGTAAGATTGGGGCCGAGCGAGGCCTAGATGGCCCTTCCTCCGGCTCACTGTGTCGGCGTCGCTTCGAAGGCCTTTTATCTGAGCCTTCTTCGGTAGGAGAACTCGTGCTGGAGCCCTCGACATATTGACACTTAAGTCGTCTTTCTCGACACGACAGACATGGTTCTCCAGGAATATCGATATGACAGCGGATTTTTCTCGAACGACATCTTGTACATGCTGGTACTTTGTGCGAACGGTATGGCCTGTTTTGAATAGGAGTTGTGCGGGCCATGTGTTCGAGACGCGACGCCTTTCCTGAAATTAAACTCGGAATCCTGATCCTCTAATAGACGCCAGCGTGCTGTAGCAGTGCGAGTCGCCCCGGCGACCTGACAGGGTAAGTTTCGCGATCGCAGCGAAAGTTTTGAGTTGTTGCTATGGCGTGTGATTACTGGGTTTTCCTGCTTCCATGTGAATTCGGGATGTTGGGATGCGAAGAAGATGCGGATTGTCAACTAGGCGCTAGTAGGTAGCTGGCCCCACTTATCCTGTGCCAAAGCTCTCAAGATTTTCCCCACCAACTATCAGTCAGCCTCTAGTAGCACCTCGCATACGTACACCGCTCGAACGCTCCACCAAACCACCTTGTGCGACCCGTAGAAAAAATATTTCGAGACGACTGCTCCGCTTTCTTGAACCATGGGGTCACTGTCTTTCATACAGGGTTTTGACTCGGCCATCATCAGAGGTTCCATTGGGTTGAGATGTTATGCCGTTATCTACACCGCTGCACGTCTATTGTAAGGGACTCCCGTATCAAACACCCGAAATGCAAATGACACATCTTGTTGGTCTGGTGAGCGTTTTCAATATACGAAGTAAAGTGGCAACCTGACCTGCGAGTCTTCTCCCGCATCAATGCAATGTCCGACAATCTAGCAAGCAACGGCCATGTTGGGGCTTGGTACATTGTACATGAACTGCTCACGTGTTATGGAATAGTCGAGGGTTGTGCTGAAGATATGTCTGGGACCAACCATACATTCAAATGATTGCAAGCAGATCAGCGGATATCTTGGGGATTGAGCGCATGAGCCTCAACAGCGTTACAAGCAAGAAAAAAACTGTGCTCATATTGCCCCAGAGGTTCATGATGGTGACTCGTGGGGAAAACCAGTCCCGTGTGGCAAAAAGAATGCCTTCCGCCAGAATTGAACTGACGACCTCGTCATTACTAGTGACGCGCTCTACCACTGAGCTAGGAAGGCTCGATATGTTTTTGATGACTAATCTTCAAAGTTAATCATTTATATCGAAAGTTTTTTTTTGAATTGGAGTAGCTTTGTCGCGTGGTGCAGGTTTTTCTCAGCCCCACAGCATTGGCTGATTATTATCTTCGCCCCCAAGCGCCACTGGGCCTGGCTGAAGTAGCGTTGACCTCTGTACGCATGTTACTTCAGAAGCTAGCATGGAACACCAGGTTATAGCCGGAAGCACGCTCTTCTCAGCCTCGTGCTCGGAATAATGGAGTGGGCACTGTTGAGGTATGTTTTGTTTGTTTGTTGTGGACATGGGTGCTGCTCGTGGTGGCTCCAACGGCCACTAGACATCCTTGCTATATGTGATTGCTTCTGATACCCCGCGTGCGCTCATGGAGCAATGTGATGTGGACAGTACCCTGCACATTTGTACATGGTTCAATAGAGCAGAGCACGCGAGCGCAGCCACTGTCGCAAGCATACAGCCTGGCATTAGCCTCGGGTGTGGCATTGCGGCGCTGGCATGCCGCTTTGATGACGAGCGAAATTACGACGTGCCGGGGGCCAGCCTAAGAAAGCAGCCAGTATGTGCCATGGAGCCGCACGGTAATTACGAGCTGGCAGGTCCTGGGATCCTCTTACCGCGCTGCTCCGCGAGCACGCCATGCCGCCGGCGGGTATTGAGAGAAGGAGAAGGCGCAGTATGCATCAGCCACGTCATAGTACGACAAAGAATGGGGTCAGCGCGAGACCGTAGAGCGAACTTTGTTGCTGTGCGTAGCTATTTGCTGATAGTTGATGGTTGATAAGGGGTGTAGGGCGGCCCATCTGCAGACCAGGGCGGGCGACGAGCGTCAAGATGGGCTGGAAATTAGATGGGGTGGCCAATCAGGGGCCGCGGGTACCTGGCGCTAGACGCAGGCTAATGTCTGTTCAGGAAAGATGAACAGGTGGCACGGGCCAACGTCCACGGTTCGGCCTGGCAAGGCACCCCCCGGCGTTTCGAGCGTGGCTGCATGGTCGCTCTTGCCCTGTGTGTGTCTCTCTCTCTCTGCCGCGCTGCTACTACTTTCTTTCCTTCTTCGCCGGCCCCTTCGCTCGCTCACCCTCACGCCGCCTCTTAATTCCCTTGACGACATCACGTACTCCTGCGGCCGGGTTGTCGTCTTGTCCTTCGTTCCCCCAGCGCTGCCTGCTGCATTTCGCTCTTTTACACAAGCCTACAACTTACCCTCTTTTCTGTATAGTGCCTAGTCCACCTAAACATAAACAACACCAGTCTTTACCCCCCGCCACGTCGTACCTAATCCGCCTTCACTGCTTGCAAACACCACGCCGCACATTCGATACAAGAGCCGGTTCCTGTGAAGCGATATTTGGACCTGGTCCCATAACCTCCTAATCGCCTGTACGCCATGATCCACGACATGGCCTACCAGCACGCCCACGCGCATCTCATGCGCCGACAACGTCAAGGACCCGTCGAGATTGTCACCGAGATCGTAATTGCTACCGAGGGAGGCGACGACGCCCCTGAGCCCACCCAGAAGCCAATTGCCCTCCCTCCACCTGCCACCCGCGCTCGCGAGAGTACCACCGCTGCCCAGAACGATGACGAGCCCGAGGAGACAGCTAGGCCCACAAGAAGACCATCCTCTACTCAGGACTCGAACGACGATGACCAGCCTGCACGCCAAACCAGCCAGCCGTCCCGCCAGACCGATCAGCCATCTCGCCAGACCGACCAGCCATCGAGCTCGACCAAGACAGCGTCCACCCTGATGCTCGCAACAAAGTCTCCCGAACCAAGCCCAGCTTCATCTGCTGCAGGCCTCATCTCTGCTACTGCCGCCATTTCTGCCACAGCTTCCTCCACTGCTGCCCCCGGCTCCGACGGTGGCATGTCTACTGGCGCAATGGCTGGTCTGGCCCTCGGTATCCTTGTCGTCATCTGCGCTATCCTGACCGGAATCCTCCTTGTATACCGCCGTAAGAAGAAGCAGATGGCTGCTGCTGCTGCCGCGGAGAATGAGAAGACTGAGATGCGAAGCGCACCTCCTCCACCACCACCTCAGGTCATGGCCGCTGCCGCCCCAGCTGTTAGCATTCGTTCTGCCCACAGCGCTGAGACTGCGCCCCGTTTGAGCCTTCGCCCTGTTACTCAGTTCGACCCCAGCTTCGAGCAGCGCAAGAGTGCAGCAAACTTGCTCAACACTGGTGGTGCTGCTGGAGCCGCTGCCGCTGGAGCCACTAAAGCCCAGAGCCTCTCACCTTCGGCAGCTGCTGAGCGCCCAACGAGTGCCTGGGAGCGTCCTGGAGCATCCAACGCTCCTGCTGCTAACCCTTTCAAAGATCCTGACACGCCATCTGGTCCCCCACCTAGCAACCCCTTCGGAAACAAGGCTGCTGTCGATACTCAACAAGCCTCCATTCCGGATTCGCCTCCTAATGCCTCCCCACTGAACTCTGCCATGCACTCGTCAAGACCCAGCGCCAGTTTTGCTGATCCCGCTGCAGCAATCGCTGCCGCTGATGCTGCCCCTGTCGCTGTTGCTGTGACTGCAGCCAAGTCAATTCCTCCTCCTACTTCTCAAGCCCCTACAGCCGAGCTCCCTGCCCCTCCGACAGCCAGTGCCAACTCCACAAACGCTCCGCTCAGTCCCCCAGCTACCGAAAGTCTCCCTGCGTCTCCTGGTCCCGCGCCCACTGGTCCTCCTCCTATCGCTGGCGCCGCTGTTGGTAGCGCCCCTCAGAGCCCGGCCCTCGCTCCTGGTTCCAACAACGTACATCGTGTCCAACTTGACTTTAAGCCTTCTATGCAAGATGAACTTGAACTTCGCGCTGGCCAACTCGTTCGCATGCTCCATGAATACGATGATGGATGGGTAAGCAGTCATCTTTACTTTGTCAGAATCAACCCGCTAATCATCCCTAGGCCCTCTGTATCCGTATGGACCGTTCTCAGCAAGGTGTCGTTCCTCGTACATGTCTGTCCAAGCACCCTGTCAAGCCCCGTCAAGGCCCTCCCCCAGGTAACATGCGCGGCCCTCCTATCCGCCCGCCCATGGGTCCAGCTGGTGGACCTCAGCCACGTCCTCTTTCGCCCGCTATGAACTCCCAAAGTCCTCGTCCCATGAGCCCCGGCCCTCGTCAAATGCAGCCTAACGGCAACGGTCCTCAACAAGGACCCCCTCGTGGTCGTGCCAATAGCAATGCTCCCCAGCAAGGTCCTCCTCGCGGCCGTGCCAACAGCAACGCACCTTTTGCTGGCCCGCAACGTTCCATGTCCCCCGGTCCTTACGGCGGCGGACCCCAGATGGCACCTCCACCTCAGATTGGTGGTCGTCAACGATCCAACTCGGCAGGTGGAGCTAGTAACCCACGACGTGGCCCAGCTCCCGGTCCTAGTCCTTTTAACCCCAACGCCCCAGCCCCTACCGGCCCTCTTCCCATTCCTGATCGGAAGCCGGTTCCTGGTATGGCGCTGTAAGTCGTTGAGCCGTCAGAGTCAGGTGTCTTTTTTTATGAGGAACGTTTCAGCGGGCTCTTGTTCTGATTTTCTTTTGTTTCCTCGATCTGAGATTGTATGCCTCTAGATCTGTGGCTATGTGTCTTGCTTGCTTAGCTTCTCTTCTTCATGCCTGCTTTGTCTCATTGACTCCTCTCTTTCTCTCATAATCTCTCATTCTCTTGCATGAAAGTTTAGCGAGTTTTACGAGGGGGGGATTGGGGCAAGCAGCGGCTACTTTTGCCTCTTTGCTTGCCATGTTTATACCCCCACCGAAGCCTCGTGTCAAACGCCCTTGCTACGAGGTATGTAGTGAGGGCCGGAAGCAGGCGAGGTCGAGTTTATTTTAGAAAAGAGGTCGAATAATGTCTTGAAGATATTTATAGTTTTTTCTTGGTTAAAACCTGTCCGCTGGGAAGGGGGTTTCGTCTCGGATCAGGCTGGATTAGTACATAACCCTTTTTTTTCTTTGCCTTCCCCCCCCCTCCCCGCCTCCAGCATTTTCAGCCACGGGGCGTCGGCACAAAGTTTACTTGTGCCCGACCCCTTAGTGTATGCTGCTGGAGAAAAGTCTGGATTAGATAAGAGGGGAGGGCATTCAGGAATGAAAATGAAATACATCACATGTTATTCGCCTCGGAGAAGTTAGGAAATCCCCCCCGCACGCAGCGTGTCGCATGTTTGAAGCAAACGCAATGTGAAATCCTCCTCCCACTCATAACACCAAGCCAAAAAGGTTCCATGCACTCATACTTTGTCCAAAACAGTGGGTTGGGTTGGGTTGGGTGTAATCAAATCGTAACTCGATACATTTCCGCCCCCCCCCCCCCCAATATATCTCCCATATCCCCGGTATCATCATCATCATCGTCATCTCTCTTTGCTCAATACCCCATTTGCCAAGTAAAAGGTAATCACACTCTACCAATCATCTTGAAACGGGACTTACCCACCCCCCCCATGTTCATATCGGGGGTGGGAATGAGCCCAGATGAGATGTTCTCCCGGGACCCGAAGGTATTCGAAGCCACTTGGAGATGATGTGGGTGTGGGTTTGTAATTAGCCTTTTAGTGCCTGCGATAGGGTTTGTGGGTGCTAGGGTTAGGGAGGGTAAGGTGTGGGGTGAAGGTAAGAGTAGGAAGGAAGGAAGATAGTTGAGACTCGAGTTGGAATCTGGGGGGGGGGGG